AGCAATGCGATAGATATGAACGGAATGAGATAGAGACAGGATAAGATAGATCGATAGATAGAAAAACAGAAGGCAAGAAAGAAATAGAATTGAGATAGATAGATAGATAGATAGATAGATAGATAGATAGATAGATAGATGTATCACTGGTAATTTTTATCTTCCTCTTCCCATATTTTATTGCTGGTAATTTTATTTTTGTTTTTACTATGAGGGTTCATTATTTGCCCAGGGTGGAGCTGCGAACAACATCATTTAAGAGGTGGTTCCAACCTTTTCAAAACCTCGCAGTCAGAGACCTTGTTGCCGGATGTAGTTTATCATCATCCCCAGGACGTACTTATGGTCTGGGCTGAATTCGAGTCCCAACAGGCGATTAATGCAAGCCCCCACCCTGAGAGAACATAATGAAAATGGCGAAGTAAATTATTTTGAAGCAGACACTGTTTTCTTTGCGAAGGGCTGTCACCAGACAGTCCCAAGTAGGTTCGGCTTCCCCTCCTTGTTAGTTATTTGACGCCTTTCCCGAGATTAGAAAAAACTTTGAAGTCTTTTAAGATGCACGCCCATGTAGACCCACACCCCGGCAAACAATTGTTCGGCTCAGACCAAAAGAAGTTCATTATTGTGTTGTATTGGTTTGAGGTAAGATCTGGTTTTGGGTAGACTTTATTCATCTGTTCATCACTTAATTATATGACTTCGGAGATCTGAAAAGCAGAGATAGAAGAGAGTTTCTGTAAATGGATATCTATCTATCTATCTATCTCAGTCTGTTCATATCTATCTATCTATCTATCTATCTATCTATCTATCTATCTATCTATCTATCTATCTATCTATCCGATTCTATTTCTTTCTTTATCTATCTATCCATCTATCTAATTCATTTCTATTCTATTCTTTCTTTCTTTCTCATGATCTATCTATCTATCTATCTATCTATCTATCTATCTATCTATCTATCTATCTATCTATCTATCCAATTCTATTTCTTTTTTCTTTATCTATCTAGCCATCTATCTAATTCATTTCTATTCTATTCTTTCTTTCTTTCTTTCTTTCTTTCTCATGATCTATCTATCTATCACTATCTATCTATCTATCTATCTATCTATGTAAATCATTTTGTTCACATCTATCTTTATATATATATATATATATATATATATATATATATATATATAATCAATCATTCATACGAAATGTAAATTAGCAAAAGATAATGATATAAAAAAAATAAGATAAAATTTACAAATTTATATTTTGTATGAATGATTCATTGTAATATTAATTAAACTGCACCACATATTTGATATATATACATACATACATATGTATATTGTTGTTAGGATCACTAGAATATTTTCCATCAACTATCTATCTATCCGATTCTATTTCTTTCTTTATCTATCCATCTATCTCATTGTATTTTTTGTTTGTTTTTTTTTTTTTCTAACTGATTCTATTTCTTCACGCTTTTTTTATCTATCTATCTATCCATCCATCTATTTTTTTTTGTCTGTCTTATTCTTTCATCCATCTATCTAATTCATTTTATTCTATTCTATTCTTTTTTTTCATTATATTTTCTTCTTTTTTTATCTTCATCTCTATCTATCTATATCTATCTATCTATTTTCCTTATCTATCCATCTATCTATCCGATTCTATTTTTTTTTTCTTTATCTATCTATCTATCCATCTCTCTAATTCTATTCTATTCTATTCTATTCTTTCTTTCTTTCTCATGATCTATCTATCTATCTATCTATCTATCTGATTCTATTTCTTTCTTTATCTATCCATCTATCTCATTGTATTTTTCTTTCTTTCTTTCTTCTTCTCTTTCTTTCTTTCTTTGTAACTGATTCTATTTCTTCGTTGTTTTTTTATCTATCTATCCATCTATCTAATTCTATTCTTTATTTCTGTCTTTCTTTCTTTCTCAGTCTATCTCTAGCTCATTTTGTTACTATCTCATTATATTTTTTCTTTCTTTCATGCTATCTATCTATCTATCTATCTATCTATCTATCTATCTATCTATCTATCTATCCAATTCTATTTCTTTTTTCTTTATCTATCTATCCATCTATCTAATTCATTTCTATTCTATTCTATTCTTTCTTTCTATCTTTCTTTCTATCTAATTCTCTCTTTCTTTCTTTCTTTCTTTCTTTCTTTCTTTCTATCCGATTCTATTTGTTTTTCTTTATCTATCTATCCATCTCTCTAATTCTATTCTATTCTTTCTTTCTTTCTTTCTTTCTTTCTTTCTTTCTTTCTTAGTCTATCTCTATCCCATTTTGTCAATATCTATCTACCTCATTGTATTTCTTTCTATCTTTCTTTCTTTCTATCTTTCTTTCTTTCTTTCTTTCTTTTCTGATGATGATGATGATCTATCTATCTATCTATCTATCTATCTATCTATCTATCTATCTATCTATCTATCTTCCTTGTCAATATTTTTTATCTCTGTTTATTTCTCTACATGGTATCTTTTTTTATTATTTTTGAAAAGGTTTGCTTTGTGCCTTTTTCTATCATTTCACCCAAGACAAATAGAAAAAAGCCACTAAAATGCAATCGCTACTGAGATGGAAAAAGGCTAAGAAAATAGTATTGAGAAATTAGAGGACAATAAAAAAAGTCCAACATTCAAGAAAACAGGTATGAAGTGCGAGAGGCGAAACAGGAAATAAGCTGGCGAAACATAGTCTTTTCTCTGACAGTGTCCTCGTATTTGTGTGCATGTAAAATCTTCGATGGCAAGGTGGCCATTTTATCTAAATTCGTGGAAAAATTTGAAAAATACCCTAACGGAAAATATTTCGTCCTCGGTGTAATGAGATTGCGAGGGAGGGGGCGATTAAATTGCAGGAGGGAGGTTTAATTGGTTTGTCATTAAACGATTAAACCAGACTTGAATTTTCATTATATAACATTTTATTTACTCCAATATTCTGTCGGTTACTCTCTGTGATGCAAGCCTTGCTGTCATCCGCCTGCGTTTCACCACGTAGCCCCTACATTCTCCTATGATATCTAAAAGAGACTGCCACCGACTGCTTGGGGCTGGTGTTTATATAATCGTCTGTCCAGCATTATCGTTCACACACTTGTATCACTCGATGCAGGTGCGATGTTACGCACATCGGCATCCGGCTTCCAGGACTCATTCCTTTTCAACGCCCCCTCGGATTCCTTTGACGGTCTGGTGGGAAATTTAAGTGCAATGTCTTTCCGGCATAACACCACTTATAGCCCATTGGGATAGCAAAAGATGCCTTCCAAAAGCTAAGCAGGGTACTGAGAAACAGAAAAATTTCGTTAGAAACAAAGAAATGAGTACTGAACTGTTCCGTGGTGCCAGCACTCATACATAGCAGTGAATGTTGGACAATCTCCTCACAGATGAGATAGAGACTTGAAGTAACAGCAATTTGGTTCTACAGAAGGATGCTGAGTACACTATGGACCGTATATGTGAGAAAGTTTTAGAGGAAATGGGAACAAAATGAAACATCGGAAAGAGAAATTTGATATCTTTAGGGCATATAATGAGGAAAGAGGGCTTGTAAAATCTGATACTCACAGGTCATATTGAAGGCAAGAGGGTAAAGGAAAACGAAGTATAACATACTTGCGGAAATAAACAGTGGAACACGGTTTAAGGAAAAAAGAAAAAAAAAACGAATTTTATTAAGAGCTACAAATGATAAGGAATTGTGGAGAGCTATTATTGCCTACGCCCCGAATGAAACGACACATAGAATAAGAATTACTTATTACCAGTGCACTGTCTGTGCCTGAGATTCAGACGTTGGCACATACTGCGATTTCGTTTAGTGCGAGAGACACACACAGGTTTCTTTTATTCAATTAGACTCGTTTGAGAATGGTTGCATTATGGTACTTCGAAAAGCTGAATAGTCATTTCGGCGAATGTGTGTTGGACAATTCGTTTTCTGTGGGGTAGTGGGGATAAAACAACAATTTAAAAATATAACCCCAATTAATCACTATACTATAACAAAGAGCAATATTTATCTGCACAATAGTATAAAAGGTAGCAGAAGAAGTCACTGCAATTTACAAAAAATAAAGAAGAGGAAGCTATGGAGGATCATGATCAACCTATATCCTAAAAGAACATGACATTTTTTTTTTTTAAATTACAATAGTTATCTGAATGCATCTGTAATAAGCCGGACTACGTTAAATAACTAAAATACGTATTTAGCGAAGAATACGGACTGCCTTCATTAACTTAATTGACGCTTGAAAAACATTATTACAAGCACCCGGATTTAGTGTTCAATGTGATCCGCTACATACGAACCCATGAACATAATGATCTGACAGTATTACTTTTTAGTGACTTTTGAAGAATGTGCTGCTTGTACCCAACTGCAGTTTCATTGGCGAGAGAATGGGAACAAAAACCAATGTGGTAATCGAGTAAAAATAACGGACGGCCTTCATTACCTTTCGCTGGTAACTAATTTGACGCGTGCACTCTGGGAGTGCACTTAATTGACTGCTTGCGAATCAAATCAGTCCGGCTGTCAGGTGACGATAACGAATGTCCTCGATTAAATTCATCTTTATATTTTGATTCTCGTTTGGGCTCATAGCAGAGTTCGGACATTTGCATCGAGTAAATAACACACGTAATTTTTTTTTTTTTTACCTACACTCTAAAATGTTACTAAATACAGACACTGTCTAAATAAGATCGACATAGATGCATCCATAATTGCCAAGACATATTTGTTTGTTCACGTTGGCGGAATTAATCTGCTGCGAGTTGTTAACCAGTGAAGCTCACAATAACAAATATCCCCCTAACATATTTTTTAGGTGGAAGGGATCAACAAGATTATATATATATATATATATATATATATATATATATATATATATATACAGTTATATAGCAAAAGTATTTAACACATTGGTTTTTCTTACATATCTCAAAAAATAACAGATCAATTTCAACGAAACTTATAGGACATATTTAAACGAACATTGTCGATCAAAACAGAGAAGGAAAATTTAAAACCACTGTTTTGAGAAACATTTATTAACAATAAATAAAATAAGCCATATGCAAAAGTATTTAACACCAATGCAAATATTATGCTAGAAGAGACGTGTCGTCATGATTCCTACCCATATTGATATGATGTGATATGTCGACCAATGACAGAACTTCACGACACTCAACTGGCTATTAGATAACAGCTCTGAGACACTGAAGCTATTCTGTTGCCACTACTGCAAGAAAATGGTGAAAACAAAAGAATTGTCGAACGACATGCGCAAGAAGATCATAAAGAATCACAAAGATGGTAAGGGATATAGAAAAATCGCTCAAGATTTGAATTTGCTTGTGAGTACAGTTGGTGCTGTTCTTCGAAAATGGAAAAAAATTCGATACTATTGAAAACATTCAAAGGAGTGGTCGTCTCCGTATCTTAAATGAGGCTAATGAGCGATACATTTCCCGTACTGTGAAGAAAAATCCATTTTCAACTCGTCGAAAAATTCAGAATGATTTGAAAAATGCCGGAATTGAAGATAGTAAAGATACAATTAAAAGATCACTGAATCGTGCAGGTCTCACTTCAAGATCACCGAGAAAAACTCCATTACTGAAACGCCGACATGTACAACCCCGTTTGAATTTTGTAAAGAAATATGAAATTGAATCTAATGATTTCTGGGAGAAAGTAATTTGGTCAGACGAAACAAAAAATTGAGCTTTACGGACGAAACATGCGCACTCATATATGGAGGAAATAAGGAGCGGAATACGAGCCAGCAAATACCATCCCTACAGTCAAACATGGGGGTGGAAATATTATGATGTGGGGTTGTTTTTCCTCAAATGGAGTAGGAAAAATGAAAATCATCGACGGAACAATGAATGCTGCAAAATACACTCAAATTTTGTCAATTCAATTCTTGAACAGTACCACATCTTTGGGACATGGTCGTGATTTTGTATTCTGTACACTGTATACTGCTAAAACAACTAAGAATTGGTTTAATAATAATGACATTAATGTCCTGGAATGGCCAAGCCAGTCACCGGATTTAAATCCAATCGAAAATTTGTGGGAACTATTGAAGTTACGAGTTCATAAAATTAATCCATCGAATTTAAACAAATTGAAGAAAATTTGTGAAGAAGAATGGGTCAAAATACCAACAAGTACCTGCAAGAAACTAGTTGAAGACTACGGGAAACGACTGGAGGCTGTGAAGCAGAACAGAGGCTACTGTACTAAATATTTGTAAAGTGTGTTAAATAGTTTTGCATATGGGTTATTTGATTTATTGTTAATAAATGTTTCTTAAAACAGTGGTTTTAAATTTTCCTTCTATGTTTTGATCGACAATGTTCGTATAAATATTTCCTATAAGTTTCGTTGAAATTGATCTGTTATTTTTTGAGATGTGTAAGAAAAACCAATGTGTTAAATACTTTTGCTATTCCATATATATATATATATATATATATATATATATATATATATATATATATACTGGATGTAACAGAAAAATTGTTCAAATCGTGTAACACCAAAATTGACCATTTGTTAGATTAAGCTTTGACCGTTGCTTCTTAGAAATGATTAAAGATATCTTACTGGAAATCTCCGACGTTTTTTTTATAACACTATTAGACTTTACTATTAACAATAAGTATATATTTTGCTCTAATTTGATATGATGATGCTGTTGGGAACTCCAGATCCAGTTTTCCTTCCTACTGTTTCCTCATTTTTAAACTTATTCATCATTCTCTTGATGGTTCTTGAATGGACTTTGAAAATGGAAGCCAGGGTATGAAAGATGGTACCCTTAATGAAGATCTGATTTTTCAGTGATTCTTATGAAAAATGATGTCAAGATGTGTAAACATCTTATCAGAAAAGTTCGAAAAAGAAAACTAAATTAGTTTAGTGTCTTTTATATATATATATATATATATATATATATATATATATTAAGCATTTGTGGGATGGACAAATATCCATGCTGTTATACAATTTGGACAATTTTGTTGTTACACTTTATACATACATACATACATATATATATATATATATATATATATATATATATATATATATATATATATATATATATGAAATTAATGAAGATTATGTAAATAAATTAAAATAGTGTACGAAGGATAGTGCTTAAAGTTCAAAGAAGATGTCGGTAGACTATAAGGACATTGTAGTGTGAATAAATAAAAGGCGGCCGTATGATGCAATGCAAAAGAGGAGTTAATTTCTGGCAAAGAAATTCGGCTTCAGTTGACCTTCATCGTCGAACAGCAACACTGTAAGAATTGTTTAGACAAGCGTACGTAATTTAACGATAACACGGTTATAGTAAACAGGGATAAACGTAAAAAATAGAATGATACGCACGCGCACACACACACACACATCTCTCTCTCTCTCTCTCTCTCTC